GTTTAACTTCAACTTGTAAATTCACACAGAATTTCAACAAGTGTTAATATCATCTCGGTTTAACTTCAACTTGTAAATTCACACAGAATTTCAACAAATGTTAAACATCATCTCGGTTTAACTTCAACTTGTAAATTGTTCACAAATTTCAACAAGTGTTAAACAATGATTTTTCTTCTCTTTGCCCCTACATGGCTTTTACATGCTCTTTTGTGGACCTTATAAAAGGTCTTCAACCTGGCTAACTGCAGTCTGACCTTGTATGTTTTTCTTTTATCTTCTGGGATCTAAGATCTGCTCACTGAGCTCTTCTCTTCTCGGGCTTAAGTGCCGAGGTCTTGTCTGCTGGAATCTTGGATCTGCTGCTCTCAGGTTGAGCTCTTCTCTTCTTGGACCTACTCATCTAGGCCGAGATAATGCCTTTTGGGATCTGGGATCCGGGATCTGGAATCCGGGATCTGCTCACTTAGGCTGAGCTCTTGTCTTCTCAGACCTACTCATCTAGGCCGAGATTATGCCTTCTGGGATCTGAGATCCAGGATCTGCTCATTTAGGCTGAGCTCTTCTATACTTGAATGTCATCTCCTTGGGAGCACTCATGCCCCCTGTCTTTGCGTCCCTTTTGGAAGGGTTTTCACTCCATTTATGTCGACACATTCTCTATTTTTGCTAAACTCGTCGTTTCCGATACATTGATCTTGTACAGTGATGGCCATCTATTCTCCTTTCTTTCCCACAAACGGCGCCAAATTGTGTGAGTGATTTTCTGACCACATTGCCCGCTTAGTAACCAGCTGGAGAGCACCGGCAGAATAGATGGCACCTGACTGACCTGCAACAGAAAGAGAAGATTCCGGTGGTGGTTCGTCCACCCGGGGGCACTCCGACGATCAAGTTAGCATATCTCTCAAAGATAAATCAAGTGCTAAACTCACAAGCTTGAGTATCAAAAGCATACCTTAGACCCATGGGGGCGCTTCTATTTTATAGCCAACATAAACCTAGTCCCAATAGAAGCCTAACTTCTATGGACTCAGGATTACTGCTAATCTTGGACTTCCAGTAAGATTAGGATAAACTCTCTAAGAGTCTTATCTTAATACAAACTGAAGTCTTCTTTCATTCTAGGACACTTGCCCTTCATCCGCTTATCTCGGATTCCGATATCTTCGGAGGTAACCTCGGCCTATCCGAGATGACCTCGACATAACAACGAGGACACGTGGCACCTCGGCTGACACGTCGGCGTCACCTTGGCCACGTGTTGGTACTCAGAAAATATATCCCCACATATTATATAAGGAAAGTGAGGTATTTAGAGAGAAAACTTCTAGGAGTTCCAAACACTTATTCTAAAATTATTAATTTTTTTTTTTAATTTTAAACAATTAAGAAAATTTCCAGTGACTAGTTTCTATTTAACTTTTATTTTACAATCTCACATCGAAAAAAGAAGGGAAAAGTGGATTGTTTCATTTACATAAAATGAATATTATACTCCCATTTATATAAATTATTGAATTTTTTTTAATTTTAAACAATTAAGAAAATTCTCTTTGGCTAGCTTCCATTTAATTTTTATTTTATAATCTCATATCGAGAAAAAAATGTGTAACAACCCTCGTCACTGTTTACCGATTAACCACTGATTACTGCTAAACTGAGACTGATTATGATTGGTAACTGAATTGATTGAAGTAATGAACTGATTGACTAAAATCTGGAACTGAATTGATTAAGTATATCTGTTTAATTGTATGTCTATCTGTTGACTGTTTGATTATCTGTTCATGTCTTTGTGTTTAACTACAAATTGAAGGTCTTATCGGCGGCCGAACCAGAAATTGATTAGTGTTTCATGATCAGTAGAATTTATGTGATTTAAAATCGATTTGGTATGATTAAATTAGGCTAAATGGTGTTAAATTGCATAGTTTGACTTAATTACATTAGTGCCACTTAGTGGCCACTGCCTTATACATTTTGAGACTTGTATGCATTGAACCAAAACATTTCCTCAGCCTTATTTGAGAGCTCTAGCCGACCAAGAGAGAGTGAAAGTGAGAGTAGTGAATTCAACATTGAGATTTGGCTTGAATCTTGAGGAATTGAAAGCTTAAGTGCATAATTGAGCCTCTAGACTTGTAATTGAGGAACATATGTATGAATTTCCTTCTCTTAATTGTGTATTTAAGTTCCTTCTAGCATGGATCATGGTAGATTAAAGAGTTAAGTCATGAATTGGTTCAAAAGTGTTGAATTGAAGCTTAATTATTGCATGCATGGTATACTCTTGTATTTTAGAGCTTGTTTTTCATAAATTTGCTACATGCATGTCCATGTTTTCACCTTGTCTTTGAAAATATTGGCTCATTAGAGCATGAATTGAAGCTTTGAAATGGTTTAAATTCATGCATGTTATGTTTGAATCATGTTCATGAAAATTGGTTTCAAATTGAGTTGAATTGATCTTCCTTTTGGGCCTTGATTTTACAAATAGAGCTTTGAATCATGTTATTCTATATATTTACAAATGTTTTCCAGGAAAAAAGGGCCCAAAGGAATTGGTTTTATTGCATTTGAACTTGGTTTGAGCTTGGAAGTTCAAATCTAGAAATTCCAGATTTTGAACTCACGCTCGAGCGGGGTGACTAGCGCTCGAGCGTGAAATTCGTGCTCCCAGTACTTTACACTGTTTTGATGTCCACTTGAGCGGAATAATTGACGCTCGAGCGGGACATTGTGTCTCATGCTCGAGCGGGTGTCGAGCTCCTAATCGAGCGTGATTTTCACACATCCAGTACTTTTGCCCTGTTTTGCAGAACGCTCGAGCGTTAAAGTATACGCTCGAGTGGATACCTTTGTCTGCATGTCCGCTCGAGCGGGACTTCTGTTTTCTGAAAATTCTGAAAATGTTTTCTGGATGCATCTTTGCATCCTCATCCCATCCTAGGCATTCTTAGGCCTAGTTTAAGACATCTTAATGAGGATATAGATGTAGAACACACCGAGGCAAATTAGGGATTAAGTTATTATCTTTCCCAACTGTGTAGCTTAGTGTGTGTTCAATCTGTAACTGTGTAGGGTTGGCGATTGGGGACGCACTCTAACTTTACTGTAGCCCAGAACTCTGTGAGTAACAACTGTGTAAAGATATGTTTAAAATGATTATCTTCTGAATAATTGAACTGTACTGCTTTCTGAACTGATACTGTTAATTGAATGAATGTATGTCCTATATTCTGAACTGTATTATGGCATCCTTAGCAACTACTGTTTACTGTTACTGTTACAGAGATCTCTGTCGGTTCCTTTGTTGGATCCACTACTGTTTATTGATTGATGGCCATCATTTACTGTTCGGTCTTTTAAGGCCTACTGTTTACTGTACTGTTATGCTAATGGATGCACTACATATGACTGAATGACTGATATACTGGATTAACGAACTGTTTTCATTACTGTAAGGACATTCATTCTTAACTTCTTTACGCATTACGTTATTCACTGGGCTTTAGCTCACTGCTCATATATATATATGTAGGTGTACAAGCACCAGACCGCGGCTAGAAGCGTCGGGTTAAGCTCCAGTTTTGTCAAGCCAACCACTGTGCCTCACTGCGAGGTTCCGAGCCTGCAAGCTAAGGCTATGGGGTGTTTTAGTCTTCCCCCCCTTCTGTCCTGTTTTGTTAACTGTATAGACTGTTACTGTACTGTTTAATAAGGATTAGGTCCCTGAACTGAATGATTGTATTTACGTACATACTGTTCTGTACTGTTCATGTATATGTGTATGAAAAGTCTTTTTGGCATACAGACTCTCACAGCTCATTGGACATTGTTTACTTACTGTATTGGCTTCCGCTAGCCCCTGTACTCTGTATTACTGTTCTTCTGTTAAGTAGGTCTTCGGTAATCTCGGATTACTGGCCGGTTACGGTACTAAACCCATAGGGGCGGGTTTGGATTGTGACAAAAGGAAAAAGTGAATTGTTTAACATACATAAAGTAAATTTTATATTCCTATTTATATAAGTAAAATGAGATTGTTTAATGAGAAGCCTTTGATCAATATCTTATATTAATTTTTTTTATTTCTTAATTTTAAACAATTAAGAAAATCCCGATTAGTTAGCTTTCATTTAACTTTTATTTTACAATCTCACATAAAGTTTTTGATTTTAAAAATAATTTTTTATGAGATTTTGAAACTCTCATAATATCTCTCCTTAAAAGTATTCTTTTGTAAAATATATAGATATATTGATAATCTCAATGTCACTCTTACTGCTCATTAATATAAAAATTATGAGATAATTATGATAATTTTAAATTTGTATTGAAACTTATAAATTATGGGATAGATTATTATAATTTTAAATTTATATTGTGTCAATTTTAAATTTAAATTAATAGATTGCTTTCCACATTTAGTGACAGTTTAAATTTAATAAAATAAAATTTAAAAGTTTTAATTAATTAATTTTTGTGTAAACTGGTTGATCTTTTGACGTAATTGATTAAGCTAAACCATTTTTGTTTAATTGATTTGCTGGTTTAACCATGATTTTAGCAATTTTACATGTTATGATAATTCTTTCTTACTCATTAAATTTTTAAAATTTCTTTAATTATTTCCCTTTCAAAAACCAATATGACAATTTTTTTAAAATTCATATATTTTTATTCTAAAATAGTGAAATATTAAAATTATGTAATTTTTTTTTTATAACAAATCATAATTTTAATTATTAATTGTCAATACAATAATTTTAATTTATCTATAGTATATGTTATATAGTAAAGAAATATTTGAAACAAACCTCTTAAACTTATATATAAAATTTTATTTATGAGAGGTAAAATATAAAAAAAATTAAATATAATTATTATATTTTTAGTAAATAATATATTAATTTATTCTGTTCATAATACAAGTGATATACTAGTTCATATATATATATATATATATGCATAACAAGATTTCAACAATCAAGTCATAATAAGAATCAAAACTGCATAACCTGATCATAGGCTCAGTTTTTTTACTTCAACAAAATACTCTATGAATTTCAACCATTATTATTAACTAATGCCATAATTTATTTTAGTAAAAATCAACCTACATAATCCGATCAGAGAGAGACGGCAACCTCCTAAAAAAGTTCAATGCCGGAGTTGGCATTCGATCTCTAAAAATGGGATGCCGAAGATAATAGAATCCAAATGCCATTGCCACCATCTTGGATGGTACCAGGTACAAAATCAACGCAACAATTAAGCACAGCACCACAAATATCCCCGTGGCATGTGGGTCCCGCCATGTCACCAACGATTGTGCACGCTCCCCTTGCGTCGCGAAATAACCTAATACTGTCTGGACACGTGCCCCAAGCATCCTCAACTTATCGTACCTCACCCGAACCACTTCATGCGGCCTATTACTCGGCATCCCATCAAACTCCTCATCGAGCTCATCGCGATCGATCGACTCAGCCAACGAGATCTTCGGATCAAAGTGGGGTAGTGGGTCCCTCGACTTGAATCGATAATTCCACACTCCGATCACGAACACGTAGAATGCCAATGTGGGGACAATCAGATCAGGGAACCACACTAACATCACTAGCAATGCGTGGACTAGCAACGTGGCAGTCGGGTTCTTCCATGCACGCGTGTCATTCACCCATTTGACCACGTCAGTCACCCCAGCCACCACGTTGATGATCCTGCACCAATTAGCACGCACTTTCCGCATGCTGAAAGCGTGCGAGTCCGCATCGAGCATACACGTCACCACTTCTCGTCGAAGTGGTGGCTCAGATCTTGCCAAGTGTGCGGCCGTGATCTTCACAGCTGTGGTCCTCAACATCTCTTGTTGTCCCTCGCCAAGTGGCTTGATATGGTGCATTAATGGAAACAATGGTTGTGAGTACACGTGTAAGAAATCAAGCGTCGCAGTTTCACGAACAAACCGTACAGCCAACTCCATCTCACCCAATTTCTTCAACCCAGTATGAGTCAACAAAATTAACGGATATGTAGTCTTGTACACCTTACCTTTTTGCAGAGTAGATATACGTATCCGTACCTTCCCAATACGAAAATCTGGACGCGTGGACTCTTTAGGACCGTCCATCTCGAATACTTCCCAACTATCAAACACCCCAACAGTCAACACAGTTGATGGATCATAGACCTTCCACGTGTACTGTTCGTTCCACTTAGGTTCCAAACTATCAGAGATCGTACGTGTACGTACCCATTTGTTCCCATACTTTGCCACAGCATAGGCGTCGGTGGATCCTTTACCGTTGATTGTCTTCATGGGTAGTAAGTTTTTGCATCCAACGATCCCTAGCTCGACTCTTCCCACCGGGGGTTTCCAAAGTTGCCTCGCGGTCGGACGATAGTCGCTGCATACGTGGGCCGCCTCGTCCATCACGTGATATCCACCGTCAAAGCAGACCCGTAGCTGGATTCTACCTTTGTATTTCTTCTTTTCTTCGTTTGGATCATCGAAACTAAACCACCTTGATGCGACCAGGCGATCAAGCTTTATCTCTATGGACATCAGTGGTATGGTAGCAACCCCCAGTCTCACCGATTCTTTTGGTTGCCGATTTTCTAGAAAAATTATTAGTTGGTGGTCTGTGAACGGCTCGGCGGCTACGAACATCAAATCCTCATTCCATGACGGAGATCCGTTACGTGTAATGGAGGGTTTGGTTTTCAGAACTTGAAAACCGAGTTGGGCTTTGATTTGGAGAGACAATTCTTTTGACGGAATTAACGGAAAGATATCTTGGGCTTCGAGCACCGTTAGTCTCAAATACCATAGCTTTGGCGATTGGTACACTTTTGACCGAGAACCGGGGTTACCGGCTGTGTCCGTCTTCCACGCATCATGAAATGATTCGTCTTCCTGCGTACCAACCCACGTGGCAAGCATCAGATCGCTCATGTGAGGTCCACCACCTTCAGATTCCAATCTGTACCACTGTGGGGCCAAAGGGCTATCTGGTGGGTCTCGCAAGGGGATCTCGGTCACATCAAAACATAACCCACCTAAGAAGTTATGCCCTGCCACGTCGGATCCAAGGTCTGCTGAGCTGGACTTTAGTGGATCCCAAACCGAGACTTCCAAGTCGGAGGAGGACTCATCAGGTGCATCGCGGGCGAAGGCAAACGTCTGGTCCCACTCAAATAAAGGGGTTTTTCGAGCGGGTCTGGATAGTACTTGACAACCCGAGACTCTTATTCTCACAACCGGGTTCCCATTTGTAGGAAGTGAACGGGCTTTCACGACCCGAACAAAGAGGTAATGCATTTTGTTGACAAGATCAAACGAGGTCCGTTCGATCGAAATATCCGAAGCGAAGCTACTGACTGAAGCGACTGAAGATAGGCGAGGGATAGGCCTAGGACCGTTGAAACCAAGATTGTTAACATCGGACACTGATCTCGTTATTAAAATATCCGGCTGTATTGGCTGTTGCCGCAGTGCTGGTTCCACTGGATTCCCACCTCCTTGTTGTGGGGGTTCAGATTCCGGCGGCTTTTCCACTTCAGCCGCAGCATTTTCCGGTGGTGGAGGTGGAGGTGGCGGCGGCGGTGCTGGTGGCGGCTGTTCTTCACTGGGTTTCTCACCGCCATTCAACGGCGGCTCCACTGTCGGCGCCGGAGCTTCTTCAGCCGGTTTGGGTTCCTCCGCCGGTGGCTTCACTTCCTCCACGGCCGGCGGCGGCGGCGGCGGAGGTGGTGGAATTTCCTCATCCGCATAATAAATCTTCAAACCCAACTTACCCTTAATCCAATTAAACAAGTGTTTCTTCTCCAGAGTATAATAAATCAAAGCCTCCTCACCACTGCTGACGAATTGACTCGCACTGAGTCTGAGTCGACCCAGAAAGTTGTTCCGACTAGTCGGTCCGATCAACTTGTCATGGTAAACCTCGACCTCGAGTATGTCTTCGAACACGTTGGAGGTTTTTCCAGCATTGAAATCAAGCTTTTCGTTCCACGTCGGGTTGAGGGTTTTAACCGCCGTAAGGGTTCGACGCCTCTGCCCGTAGTAGTCGAGAACTACATAGGGACTCGACGTCCCGAGTCCGTCTTTGGGTTGGAGATCTCGAGCGTCGATCACTTCAACTATCAGTTTTCTAATTTTAGACATGGTGTGAAGATTGAGAAGAAGAAGTTGTGTGTGTAGTTTGGGTTTTGGGAATTTTAGGATGGATTATCACATTGTTTGTGATATGGGTTTGAGAGTTACAGTGTGTTCATACAGATATATATGTGTCTGTGTGTGTGTATACGCGGAGAGAGAAGTGGAGTTTTTGGCTGGATGATGGAAGGGTAAAGAAAGGAGGAGAGAGACAAGAAGAAGAAAAAGTGCTTGACTTCATGTGCAAGGGAGCTTTATTGCTTTAGGAGACCATATTCTTTAGCTAAAACCGACTTATCTTTTGCTGCTTTGCTTTGATTGTTTAGAAATACTTTTTCGCAAGACTTGAAAGATTCTTCGGTGCTTTATTTATTTGTTTAGGATTGTTTTTTTGTTTTGGGAATTTTTGCCATACCTTGAGATTGGGTATGATGAGCTTTATCGGCTTTAAGTTAGTGGAATTGCTTCCCTGTTATGATGATGTGGCCTCTGATCATGGGATTAGTATCTCTGCAATGTAGATAAATGGCGACTATTATGAGCCCGGATCCTTTGATATAGATTTTTGCAATGCTCATGCTGTGATTCAGAATGATGTGGTTTTGAATTTTTTTTTTTTTCCTTTCTTCTTTCTTCTTCTTTTACCTTTTTCTTGTCTCTCTAAGTTGAGAATTCTAACCTACCTTGTAAGCAAGAACAGAGAAACGTTTGAGAAGGACGATGGTGGCGAGGCGAAGTGAGATCGGCGGCGATTCTTAACTAAGAGAAATGCAATTCTTTATTTCCCCAATTTTCTAACCAAAGAGAAATGCATTTCTTTTCTCCTCAAATCACCAGGATTGTAAGAGCCATTTTCAGTTTTCAGAGTACATGGTCCCATAGTTGGAAACTCTGCTTATTTAGCATAAATTGATCAAAACATCATTGTGTCAAATTTTTAACAAGAAATTACAAAGAAACCATATCTAAAGGGCTGAAATAACAACAATTAAAAGCAAAATCAACACAATTTTGGCACCTAAACAATTACCCACTATCAGAATTCTTTAATTCTTTTAACAAATCATTTGAAAACGCGCATATACATATGGGAATTGATGAGCTTAAAATCGGAATACGAAACTAGAATCCAAATTCAAAAACCCAGATCGATCTCTGATTGTTTCATTTTGTGGGTTCTGACTTGTGCTTTGTAGGATTGGAGATTTGCTGGTTTGCTGGTTTCCTAGTGCTTTGTTCTTCCCTTCGATCGTCTATGGAGGATTGGAGATTTAGGGATCTTGGAGTTGGAGTTGGAGTTGGAGTTGGAGTGAGATATGTGAGTGTGGGATAAGAATCGCCGCCAATCTCACTTCGCCTCGCCGCTGATCTCACTTCGCCTTGTCTCTCTGTTCTTATTCTTGCTCACAAGGTGGATTAGAGTTGTCAACTGAGATAGACAAGAAATAGGGCAAAAGAACAAAAAAAGAAAAAAGAAAGCCATTGCAGGAAACCATAGCATAGGATCCGGACTCGAGTATTCTATGTCTTAGTTTGATTTTTGTAATGTGAATGGCTTCTGTCCGGTCTTTAATCGGACTGGACTGTACCGTTGGGCCCGTGAAGACTTATCACGGGTTTTGTTTTGATAATCTGAACCGTTCAATGTGTAGAACTCGTCGAGTACTATATGCCTGTAAAAGATCATGTTGATCGGATATCGATAGCTATGTGATCAAAACAGATTTTTATCAACCGTTAATTTATTCACCGTCCATTTTTTTTTTATACAAAACTGATTTGATCACATAACTATTGATATCCGACTAACGTGATTTTTTAAAGGCACATAGTACTCGACGAGTTCTACACATTGAACGGTTTAGATTATCAAAACGGGACCCGTGATGGGCCCCCACGGGCCAACAACACGGTCCAGTCCGATTAAGGACTGGACAGAAGCCATGCCCTTTTGTAATTTTTTTTATTAGAGTTAATTATTTAAAAGTCTTATTTATAAATGTTATGGTAGTTCAGGTTCTATTTAAGATTTTTTGAACCAATAAGTCATATTTACTAAATCTGAGAATATTATTAATTTTTTTTAATTTTTAAAATTAAGAATATTATCAATTTTGCATAGTAATGTTCCAGAGAATTGTTTTACTAATTGATGAAAAAAATAGAGTATGAAATTAAACGTTTTTGCCTCTCTACTTATTGGTTTGATTCAACTATTCAATAAAAGCGAGAATATTATCATTTTTTTTTCCAGTTTTAAAACTGAGAATATTGTCAGTTTCTTAACTTTTGAATTTTTTTTTGTTGTTGTGCACATCAATGTTCTATCATTATGCTACCTTATAGACACAATTTTTTTAGTTTTGTACAAAAAATAATTCAAATTTTATAATTTTTTCAAAAAAAAAAAAAAAAACATTAATTTTTTTTTTCTCAAAATTTTTTTAAAGTTTTTTCAATTTGAAAGTTGATATTTTAAAGTTTTGAAAATCAAAGTAAATATTAAATTATCATATTCCTTTATAGATAATCATAAATAATGAACAATCATTATTTGACCGTCAATTTTGATTATTAAAAATTTAATGGGACTTGAAGGTTCAAAAAATCTTAGTTAAAACTTAATGGAATATAAGTTCATAAATCAAGATTTGTGTGTAAATGCCATTTTTATCATGATATATTGTGGTGTTAGATATTATTTTAATTATGATTTAAATGGTTTTTAATTATACTTTTATGTGATATTTAGTTGTAACTTTTATATACATATTTTTAGATGCGTACCATAGCATTACCCATTTTATACATTGGTTATACAAAAAAAACTACACCCAAATTACTTTTCATAAATTTAAAATCTTAATAAATGATTCAAATTCAATTCTTAAATAGTAGGTCATATATCTAAAAAATATCCACCACACAATCTATTTTCTAACAAATTCGTGATAAAAGAAATTATAAATTTATAAAAATCTTCATTGCTTTTTTAAAATATAATTTCACTCGTTTAAAGTCATGGGTTTCTGATTTATTTCCTTTTATTAATGACATTTGTGATACTTCGATTCATAGTTTTATGTAACGGTATCAAGTATCGATAGTCACAATTTATTAAGATTTACTTTCTTGTGAATGTGGAAAACCTTTGTACTATTGTCTCAATTCATTTGTAGTTTTAAATCATGCGAAAATCTAAATATATATTATGAACATTATACTATGAACATTTGAGTAGGTGACAATCTAATTGAACAATAGTACTATGAACAATATATGATGTGATCTGTGATATTTTTTGATAAGCATATAGTTATTCAAGTCTAAAAATTATATTTGTTTTTTAAATTTGATAATGTGACAATGCATTAAAATTTCTGAAGCAAATCTCTTTCTCTTATATCTTCTCTAATTATTTATTAATAATCTCATTTACACATCATTAAATCTAAAAAGTAAATTTGTATATAATTTTTCTTATTAAATATAATAAAACCTACATGATCAAGGTAATTTAGCATGCAATAAATGTAAGTGTGTTACATAAAAATGTAAACAAAATGTGATAATAAAAATAATAATCCTAGCATTATTGCTAAACAATAAACATGAATTGAAATATTACTTGATTTTTATTTTTTATTTTTTATTTTTAATTTTTCATCAGCAAAAAGAAAGTAATGTATTGATGAAGATCAATGGATTAATAGCCACTTTATGCATGCAGGCCATGTCAGTATCTGTGCTGGGTATAAAAGATGGTGAATCAAAGAAATATGGGTATTTTGAAAAACATGTCATACCTGTACTGAGTATTTATTGACGTATGCATTTCGTATGATACTTTTACATATGTACCGGTACATAAAAAACGTACTAAAATTTTTTATTCTAAATTTTTGGTGTATCCAGACGTACTTAGTATATACTCAAGTACCTCAGTTGAAATAATATTTTTTTCTATTACAGAGATAAAATTCCTTTCCCTAAACTTTTTTATTTTTTATTTTTAGTTTTATACTTAGCATGATTTAAAATTAAACTATAGTTTATAAGTTATTTAATATATTGACATTTAATTTTGATTGATACTTTTATTTTTGATATTAAATATTAATTATAGGTTGAATCTTAACAAATCAAATCATTTAATTAATTTTTATATTATTCTAAATTAAAAATAAATATTTTTTTATAAACATACCAAATCGTATTCATATTCTATTTTTATTAAATTTTAACGCATCGACGGATTCATATTATATCAGTACTGGTACTTACACGCAGACCCGTGCTTCATAAGGTAAATCTATCCTGATTTGGAGTGCATCCCTATCTGCTTGACAAATATATGAGAGTGAGGGTGAGCGAGAGAAGAATGATTTATGGAGTGGGAAGTGAATGGGTTAACTTTTGACAAAGATAGCTATCTTTTTGTGTCACCGACCGTGATTTCGGCATCCAAAAATACTTTTTATTTTATATTATTATTTGGACACTTGATGTGTGGAAATTGGGGATTTGAGTTTTGACAAAAGCAATAAAACAATGACGAGCACCCCACGATTACTTTCTCGCAATTCTATGAATCATCATCATCATCATCTACTTGGACCTCTATCTTCAGCAATGTCATACGCAAGTGGGTCTTTACTACATATTACATTTACAGTGTTTTTTTGGAGGGATTTTTGGTCAAAATTCTTTTATAACTATCGTGTTTTTGTGATAAGGATAATTAGAATTTTATTACTATCTAAACTCCAAAAATATAATTCATTTTCATTAGGGACAAAATTTCACATTGCATGATTTTTATAGACGATTTTGCACCTCATTATATATATGTGTTTTGAATCATATCTTTTATTAGATTTTACATGTTTGTTAAGAAAATTTTTATTTTGTTATTCTCTTTCATTCATGGTCGACTACTTGCTTTGTGCAAATATATTCGGTGGATTGTAGTCATTGTTTGTATTGCGATGAAATATCAAATTATAAATTTGAGTAGGTTGGAGCTTCCGATGATGTGTTTGTGTATTGTATTTGTTTTTTTGAAATCATTGAGAGTTTGATTGAGTTTGAAGAACTTCATTGAATCACTGTTTGAATTAGAGATAGAGTTTGGTTCGATCACTTCATTCGATCAAAGTTCATGTTAGAGTCGGAGTTTTGTTCAATCATTATTTGATTAAATTTACTTTGATTTGCTTTGATAATATATGTTAAGGTGGCGTTTGGTAACACTTACGTTTTCTGTTTTTTGTTTATATTTACAA